TGGTTCTTTTCCTAGCGTTATGAATCTTATTGCGCATTTAGCGACCCGATTACTGGGTTGTAAGCTTCTGCCGATCTCCTACTGCAGAGACACATCTCGTAAAATAGCTATTAGGATCTTTAGATCTTTCATACGCTGGCAAATGAGAAATTAGCGGAGTGAAAGAACGAGGTCGCTGATAAGAAATACCAGACAGTCTATTATGCATAACACATTGCCCCTTCCAAGTACAAATCTATTTAAAGAATCTAAAGATCCTAATAGCTATTTTACGAGATGTGTCTTTGCAGTAGGGGTTGTTTATAGTGTCTATAAAGTTTATTCAACAATTTTTACATTTGGTTTTGGCTCAGCTCCACACCATCTATTCTCAAGAGACGCAAATTGCAAGTTCCTCCTTCTTCTCAACGCTCAAATGAGGTCCAAACTCAATTAAGTACAAATCGCTTGCTCTATCTAAGCGTTATGTAACTCACACCTTTCCCTCATTTCGTCCATCACATGGCGTAAGAGGTTGCTAGTTTACTGGATTGCTAAGCTAGGGCCTTTTGAGCGTCTACGTGGGTCTTTCGCCTATTCGCTATACTCTACGCCATTTACAGCAGCTCTCCAAACTGTCTGTAAAGGGTCCAAAATTTTCGTGTTCAAGACTTAATGACGAAGTTGGCACTGCTGCGCCAAGAAGACTCCCAGCGGGAGGTACGGGAGGCATCGTACTGGGGGTTCGGAAAGGTGAACCGGGAAAACCTCATAAGCCTCTTCTCCGCTGGCTCTTGAAAAGGAGATTTTGCCCATTGTTGCAAGGTTATATGCATGCCTTCCCCATCAAAGACGTTGTCATATCCTGGGTTCTGTTGTATATAAACCATTGTAAATCGGCACACAACAATTCGAATTATCATTCGATCTAAGAGTGTTTATCCGTTAATTGAATGACTTGTGCTATGCGGAAAGTAAATATCACAGCACCTATATTACGATGGGACAGCCACTGCTGATCTTCTCTTGTCCCATGGCCTACGCAACTGTATCACCTTTAACAGTTTACTTAGCTGAACCTATCACGAAGTAAGCTCCATCTTCTCTTCGTAGATGACAAGCATGAGGTCGGTATGCTAGATGCCTCAGTGACGTTTGACCTTTCGTATGTCGGGAAGGATGATCGCAGGAAGGCCGATTTACAAAACGAGAGCATTTGCCGCCTTTGATCTCTCGCTGAAGAAATTAAAAGGGAATTTCCCTTTCCCTGGAA